TTTGTGCTCCATAAGTGAATATGATGGCTTAATCCTAGAATGAAAAATAAAGTACTGTACTGCATACGCCATTTCTCAGAAAGTACCTGGCCCTGCCAGTGTGTGAGGCCATAATACATTTTTTCTGAGGGTATTAGCAAGTTCCATATAATGAAGCATGAATTCTCTGCAAATAGGGACTATTTTTCATAAGCATTATTTTTTTCATTTGACATGATTGCCCTAATGTACATTTTGTGGGCAAGTTTTATTCATCTGGTTTAGTCAATGTAGAGATTATCAAGAGGAAGATTGAGGACCTGAAAGGTAAGGACTTATGACTACTGTCTTTGTAAAGCCTTGGAAGCTGTTGCACAGATATCAGGAAACATTTTGACTGCATGCTTTGCTCGCTAAAGGATACAACTGAGTTTATGGGTGGTGCTTTGAAGTGAATAGAATATGAAAAAACAGTAAGACTTAGAGCAGGGAAGATAGGTCAAACTAAATGTGTTGAGTCGGAAGGACATAGCTAAAATATACCCTGATGTTTAGTAGATTCTGGTTAATAATTATATGCTAGAGATGAAATAATAAATCAAACCCTGTTGTTCTTTAAGGAAGAAATTGGGTGATCAGATGTAACACTGGCAACAGAGAGCATCGAGCTCCCAGTAATTTATATTATTGACAACTTCTCATGGCTCTGCAACCTAGTGTTGTCTTGATGTCACAGGAAATGACTTCAATAATAAGTTTTATTTTCTTAAGCGAGGAAGGTATTTGAAATATTTAGGCCATATTGACCTTGATTTGTTTTGTTTGTGATTTAACTTTAAAAGATGTGCCAATTTGTGGTTCAAAGATGGAAAAAACACTGCAAGGATTGTGGGAAGTGTCTCTCTTAACCTTTTTGCCACCTACCCAATCCCACTACCTTCTTCCAGTGTTAATCGCTGCTGATGTTTCCTTAGGTGTATACTCCTATCTTTCCTCTCTAGTTTGCATGAAAGAGGACATACTATGTGCCTTGATTGGCTTCTTTATCCTTTCCCTTGATAGCTTTTCTTGATGATCTTTTCTTAGCCATACATAAAGAGCTTCTATGATGAGTCTTTGGTAGATAGACTTGGAAGGTCAGTGATGAATGGAGGCTAATCCTGTACACAGTAGAAGCCCACTTAAACCAAAATGGCTTTGATTATTGAGCTTGAGGCTTCTCTACCGTATTTTTTTTAAACATTTATTTATTTATTTATTTATTTACTGTGTGTGGGTGGCCAGCTCAGCCCACCAGGGGGTGGGGCTGGCTGGCATGTGGTGCTGGGGGATCGAACTGTGGTCCCTGTCTTTGCCAAGCTTGTTCCAAGTAGGTGCTTTAGACCACTGAGCCATCTCGCCAGCCCCTCTCTACCATATTTGAATCTCCTGACATAGAGCATTACAGTACTAAGACATGAAGGTAGACTCCTCTCTATAATCCATATATAGTTATTTAATATAGATTTCATGAAATTCTATGCCTTAAAATTTTGGATTGGATCAGGATACATGGAGAAGCTCTGAGTCCCGATTTATTCTTCAGCTGCATTTCCCACTAATCTTTTAATATTTAATTGATAGGAAATAAGCAATGAGTTTGTTTTCATTTCTTTTTTTCTTTTTTTTAATTTTTATTTATGAGAGAGAGAGAGAGAGAGAGAGAGAGAGAGAGAGAGAGAGAGAGAAAGAGAGAGTGTGTGGTGTGTGTGTGTGGCCAGCTCAGCCCACCAGGGGGCGGGGCTGGCTGGCATGTGGTGCTGGGGGATTGAACTGCGGTCCCT